TATGAAATACAACATCAATTGATTGCATTTGTTTTATTAAATTTTCACATTTTGTAATGTTCTATTGTGAAAACTAGAAACATCACCTACGTGAATACCGATCTTTCTTACTCCAACTATTAGATTTCTCCATCACAAAGGCATCACTCCCACTTGGTTTCCAACATAATTTCAAAACCAGCAATAATATAAGAAAAAAAAAAGCTTTTCCTCTTTCACACTATACTTCAACCAACGAAACTCATCAAATCATTTTGGGACGAAATGTCATACCTAACTTCTGATTGTTTTTGTTGGAAACACATGACTACGTGGTTGAAAAGTTTCTCTTTGTAAATATAGTTGTTTGATTTCATTTCTTTGATTGAGGTTATACTCCAAAATTCTTGGCTTATCAACCGCATCCCACGGAAGATCTTTTAATTGAATTATGTTTTATGGTGTTGATGGAGAATATTTCATTTGAGAAATTGTTGGAACTGATCCCACTTGAACAATCACATTTATTTTCAATTATTTTCGTATTTGTGGTATTTTAAATTTTAAATTTTAAATAATCACCTATTTATTTTGGATAATGACAAATTTTAAATTTTTAGTGGGGACATTGCAATTTTTTACTGATAGCACAATTATTAAATTATAAAAAAATTTCTCTTGCCGGAATAAAATCACTGGTGGCACGCGTCACCGGTGCCCAAGCCATAGATTCTACCTTGACCGCAAATTCATGTTGAAATAATAGTCATTCATGAGGCAGTCGCGAGCATATCTTGTTGAGATCAATGATTCACCATATTTTAAATAATTGTGGTTTTAGATTTGAGAATGATAATCTTCGTAATATTTTATATAAAGATAATACAACTTGCATAGCTAAATTGAAAGAAGGATATATAAAGGAAGATAGAACGAAACATATTTCACCAAAATTGTTCTTTACTTATGATCTTCTAAAAAATGGTGATGTTGATATGCAACAAATTCGATCAAATGAGAATTTAGCAGATTTATTGACCAAAGCTTTACCAGCTACATTATTTGAGAAATTGATGGAAAACATCGAGATGTGTCAGTTACAAGACTTCAGATAAATTTTACTTCAAATGGAGCAATTTCTTTCATTAGAATCTTTATCCCACTGAATTCTTTCCAGATAAGATTACGAGGCTTATTCATTCCAGTTAATGATACCAAAGAGAAGTATTATGACTCATCATAATATATGAGTTATCATATATAGATGTCATGTCTGTACGATAAAATACATGTAATTTTTCATGTTGCGTGCAATGTGTATTTATTCTAGTATTGCATGTTATCATAATGTGATGAACAATCATTTTTCTAAGTATCTATAAATAATACATTGTCTGAATCATCAATAATTGTTTTAAAAGTCAAATATTTTGGCTTCCCTCTTATCCCACGTCGGTTAGAAAAATGAATTGGGGATGAATTTTTTCTATAAATTGATCACCCTGTCATTTATTTCGATTCATCCCCACAACACAATCCTTATATTTTAATTATTTTGTATTTCTTTTTTTTTTCTCTTAATTAAACTTTGGTTGGGGTCCGAGGACGTAGGCATTATTTTTCCAAACCTTGTTAAATTTGGTGTTCTTTTATTTGTTCTAGTGTATTTGGTTATTTTGCGGTTATTTATTATACTTAAATTTTGCCCAAAAAATCTGTCAAAAAAACTATAAAAGGTCAGAGAAAATTGGGTTTTAAGTAAACCTCGTGTCTTCTCCAATTACTTGGGAATTTTCTTTGGTACTAATTAGGTACGGAATTCACCTATTGTGTGGGAGTTATAACCTATTTTACGCGATAATTGTTATCAGAGCCTTGATTGCTTAGTATGCTCTGCAATCCCAGTTAATGCATCTCGGTTAAGCTGACATTTTATATTGTGTGATTTTTTTATCAAACTCTAGAGCAAGAACGGTGGAAAAGTTCGGTAAAAAATAAACTTCAAATTCGAAGTCATTGGTGATGTCATCATCAAGAAAAGTGATTACAAATGCCAAATATGAGTCAAAAAATTCAACGATACCAATAATTTTGGTATGTGGCAATGCGAGGTGTTGGACATCTTGTTCCAACAAGAGTTGGATAGGGGCACTCGAAGAAAACAAACCGGAGGGTGTTGATGATAAATACTGGAAAAGGATCAACTGTATAGCATGTGGTACAATTCGGCTCTATCTCTCCAAGGAGCAGAGATATTCATCCATGAGAGAGACGATTGCACACAAATTATGGAAAAAATGAAGAACAAAATCATAAAAAAAAATAATAATAATAACACAAAAAACAAGCTCTACATGAAGAGAAAGTTGTATCACTTCTGTATTTGTTAGGTACCACCATGAACAAACATATAACTAGATTGATTCTCTAGTTATTGATTTACTGAATTTGGATGAGAAGATAAATGATATTGATAAGGCATTGTTACTACTTGTTTCCCTTCTTGATGAATATGAACATATAATTTATATGATGGAAAGAAATAATCTCATTTAAGAAAGTTACTATTGCTTTGTATTCTAACGAGATCAGAAAGAAAAATAAGTCAGAATACAAGAGTTTGACTGGTGAAGCCCATTTTGTCAGGGGTTTTACCAAAAAAACAATCCGGCGTGGAGGCAGATCTTAGTCAGAGACAACGTAGCAAAAGATAAATGTTTCTTTTGCCACGAAAAAGAACACTAAAAGAGAGACTGAAGCATATGTTGCTAATAATAGTGAATCAGAATATTCAGTAGCTTGTGCCAATTTGCACTGATGACTGGTTGCTGGTCTCAGATGCTCATTCTACATGTGTTTCTAGAATGAGTGATTTGTCAATTTTGAAAATATTGATGGCAGAGTTGTCTACCTAGCTAACAACCAATTTTGCTAAATAACTGGAGTTGACTCAATCTATCTGAAGAACCATGATTGAACAATTAGAGTGTTGACAGAGGTTCAGTACATACCGAAATTCACCAAAAAACTCATATAAGTGGGAGCTCTTGGAATCTAAAGACCATTCAATTAGCATTCAAAATGGAATGTTAAAAGTGATCTCAGGAGCACTTGTTGTTATGAAAAGAAAATAACTTGTATAATTTTCAGTCCAATGCGGTAGTTGGCATAACATCAGCAATATCATAAAAAAATAAAGAAGATGAAATGACCAAGCTCTGGCTCATGAGGCTTGGGTATGCGGGGGAAAAAATTCTTGTAGACTCCGGAAAAACAAAGAATTATTAAAGAGTGCAAGGACTTGCAAACTTGATTTTTACGATCACTGTGTTCTGGGAAAGCAAATGCAAGTGAAGTTTGGAACACCAAGCCATAACACTAAAGGCATCATGGATTACATTCACTCAAATATGTGGGGACCAGCCAAGACAGCTTCTATGAAAGGAAAACATTAGTTTATAACATTTGTTGATGATTTTTCCAAGAGAATATGGGTGTATCCCATGCAAACTAAAGATGAATTTTTCACCAAATTTCTCTATTGGAAGAAAATAATGGAGAACAAGACTGGGAGGAAAATTAAAGTACTTCGATTTGACAATGATACAGAATATCAAAAACCTTTTTTTGATATTTGTAAGAAAAAATGCATATCCCAACAATTCATAGATGGGACATGCTACAACAAAATGGACCTTGCTAGAGAAAATTTGGTGTATAATGTCCAATGTTAATTTGAGCAAACAATTCTGGGCTGAAGATGCCACATATGCAAGTCATCTAATTAATTGACTATCATAAGCTGCATTTAAAGACAAAACACCTTTAGAGGTATGGTTTAATAAATTCACAAATGATTATGATTTTTTACATGTGTTTGGTTAACTGCATATTATGTTGTGAAAGAATCAAAGCTGGATCCAAAGGTGAGAAAAACTATCTTCATAAGAATATTATCTGGTGTAAAAGGATATTGGTTATGGTGCCCAGAGATGAAAAAAAAAATAATCTGTAGCAAGAATGTTTGTGACTATGCGGTTGCTTTAGGGGTAATTTGAGTAATGAATTGTACTTCATTCGTTCCATATAATATGAATGCATTACTCTATATATGAGAATTTAGGTAAAATATAATTAGTAAGTAATTAAGAAGTGTATTAGTAAAAATAATTATAGATTAAGATTAAAATAACTAAAATAGTTTAATTAAAATTAAAAAATTTCTAAAAATTAAAATTTAAAATATAATTAAAGTGTATAATTATATTTCTTAAAAAAAAGGACAAATTATGTAGGATTGACGAAAATAGAAAATAGGAACAAATTAGGTAGAACAGATGGAGTAATTGGGTAGTGAACTTTTACCCATTTTGTAATTTTATTTTATTTATTCAGTCCACCAAAACGCAAGAGTTCATGTATGATTATGAGACATGAATAAAGAATAATTATAATGGATATAATAAGAAATATAAATTTAAAAATATATAATTAAATATACTAAGTTAGGTTTAATCAAATCGAAAAAATATATAAAAAAAAAAATCGAAATATGTAGTATATGCATTTGAATGGAATTTACTTCATTAACCAAAAAGTGGGTTCGATTCCATGGTTCGGTCCGCCATTTGACCACTCTAAGAGTGTGTTTCTTTAGGTTGAGTTGGAAAAAATTAATTTGAGTTTGGTATTCTCAACCATTCTTTAAAGGTGTGTTTTTATTAGTTGAGTTTGCAAAAAATTGGTTGGAGTTTGATTTTAAAATAATATTTGATAAGATGTTTTGTGTATAAAAAGAAAAAAAAAGTACAGTCAAAATAATTAAATTTAGAAAATTTTGATTAAAAAAAGAAAAAAAAAAAGACCTTAGAGTTCAAAGTTTCCATTGGTTACGCAATGAAAACTTGGAGCCGAATATGTTATTTACTGGGCCAAAGGCCCAAAATGTATGGATAAACAGTTGGAAGTCCAATCTACTATCAAGACGACGTCGATTTCTAAGAACAGCGGTTACGATTTTGGCTGGACTGAACTTTTTAAAACCACCAACGTCATCCATCCACGCGCTCCGAAACCCTACTCCGCTGCGTCTGGTAATTCAGGCGTAACATCTCCGCAATGGAGGATCCCATGGTGGCCGATGGAGCGGCCAACGACGCCTGCGAACTTGATTCTTCAGAGCAGGTTCAAGCTGTACCAGACGCGGCGGCGGAGCTGGTTACTAAATCCATAGCTCCGGTAAAAAGGGAGTTCCTTCGGCCGCCGCCTCTCAGAAATTGCGATAGCAACAATAGCAATAAAAGTGAAGAGAAGTCAGTCTCTCGAAGCGACGGCCGTCCGGCGCCGGTGCTCAAGGAGAAGAAATCCAAGCGCCAACTAAAACGCGAGCGCCGTGAGGTTGGATGTTAAGTTGTTTGTTTCGATGGTTTGATTGTAATATGTGAAATGAAGTAACGCGCATACTTGTTTGTATGAAATGGCGATCGTTGTTGTTTGGGATTGGATGATTTTTTTTTTTGGCTGATTATGATGGATTGGTTGGTTTTTTTTGCTTGGTGGTTAGTAGATTCGGTGCTTTCATTTTGTGGGGAACTAAAAGCTGATAATGTATGGTGTAGGAACGGAAATCTGTGCTGCATATTTGTCCGGAGGTAGCAAGAAGTGGTGATGCTAATTCATGTCCTTACAATGATAGTTGTCGTTTCAGCCATGATTTGGAAGCTTACAAAGCTCAGGTAGACTTCACAATACACACTCTCTCTCTCTCTCTCTCTCTCTCTCTCTCTCTTATATATATATATATATATATATAATGAGTAGATATTCTTTATGTGCTGAATTGACACATCATAATCTATATAAGAAATGTTGAACGGTAAAACACTCAAATCGTTAATAATTGATTCTCTTTTAATTTAATGTTGACTATCTTCAATGCAAAAATGAATAATAAATTACGTAGTCTCAGAATTGTGAGGTGTTAGAACTAGATATCAATAGTTAGTTAGTTGATTATTATTATTTTGAAAATTAGTGGGTTTAAATAATGCAGTTTTGTGGACTGCGCGTTAAACTATATATAAAAGAAATTCTATGCTGATGAACCATATGAGAAATTTATTGAGCCATAATGGTGTGATGTCATCTATTTAATTCAGCCCAGGTTTCGGATTGATGTATTATCAGACACACAAATTTCTGATCCAAAATGCTATTGAGGAATGATGGTTCACTTTATCTGATTTTCTTATCCTGTTTAAGCTATGGACCAATTTATTCTGCTGTAATTGTTGCAGAAACCAGCTGATTTAGATGGCAAATGCCCTTTCATGGGTAGTGAGGGGCCGTGCCCTTATGGTCTGGCTTGTAGATTTGCAGGCACGCACATCATTGCCAATGGTGAAGTCAATAATGGTACAATCAATGGTGATAAGAGAAGCAGTGAAATGAATGTCTTAAAAAAGGAAGTTCAGAAGCTTTTGTGGAAGAACAAAATGAAGTTTCCCAAGGCCGAAGCTTCACTCAAGCTTCTTGGGCTTCTGGTAAGGATGTAATTCTTATGTCCACAAAGTATATGTTCATTTGAGTTGACATGAGTATTGATGAATATAATATTTATATTGATTGATTATGATATAAAATATGGGTGTTTTTGGAAGTATACGAGTGTGTAAATAGTTGTAGCATATTTTAAATAAGTGTAATGTTAAAAGGTATAGACGAAGGAGGGTGTAAGAGTTTTTGTTGTAAATGGATAATGTATATATTCTGTGGACAAACGAAAAAGAAAAACAAGCATATATTTGGTGGATAGAGTGAGTAATATTTTACACTTAACAACTTCATCCTACGCAATTGTATTTCACCTGTCGAAATTTCTTTGTCAGCATGTTTTTTACATCTATGAATTATTGTAGGGACAAGGAAAAAACAAGAAGGTGGAGAATAAAGGCGATGATACTGAAACAATTGCCAATGGTTCTCAAGATGTTGCTGTCGAGGCTTGTTATAGGGCAAACAATGAGATGGTCTGTCCTACTGAAGTCTTGGAACAAGAAAAACCTGACGTGGCTGATGAACATAGACCGCCTAAGAAGACTAAATGCTCAGTAGATGAAGCTTGTTCTGCATTGCATAATGGTTTGTTGGAAAACCTTGATATATGCTTCAAGTGCATTGTATTATGAGAAAATTTTGTTTGATTTTGTCTATCCTAGCAGGGCAGATTCTCCACGAGAAAGACCATGACAAAATCTATGAACAGAGTGAACAGGAAACCATAGTTGAACAGAGTAAAATCGATCCGATTGTTGAGCAAACTGAGCCCAAAAGCATTGTTGAAAGCATCTCTGAAGACAATGATAAATGCCTGAGGTTAAACTCAAGGGAAAAGAAGCTTATTGACTTCAGGGAAAAGCTCTATCTTGCGCCACTGACAACTGTAGGAAATCTACCATTTCGCCGTGTCTGCAAGGTTCTGGGAGCTGATGTTACGTGCGGTGAGATGGCAATGTGCACGAATCTTTTGCAGGTTTGCAAAATACACAATACCACCTAATTTTTGTTGGTAATAGTTAACCGTCTGAAAACAGCTGCTTTTTGTGGTTCTACACTATGGAATATTTGTAGGGTCAAGCTTCGGAATGGGCTTTGCTCAGGCGTCATTCCTCAGAGGATTTCTTTGGCGTCCAGATCTGTGGTGCATATCCAGATACTGTTGCGAAAACTGTTGAACTTATAGAGCAAAATTGCTCAGTTGATTTCATTGATATCAATATGGGATGCCCGATAGATATCGTTGTGAATAAAGGTGCTGGATCTGCCCTTCTTACAAAGCCGATGAGAATGAGAAGTGTTGTTGAAGCCTCTTCGAAAGCCGTTGACACACCTGTGACCATAAAGGTATACTTCTGAGCTGTTGCATTTTTGATTGGTTTGTTGTGGCAGTGCTAGAGTTAGAGTATTTAGTTTCTGATAACCTTTTCCATGGCAAAATACAATATTATTGTTAAATTATATGGAGAATAAGCTGCACGTGTTAAAACGAAATATTTGCTTCAGAAGTTGTCTCTTAATATATGAAGCATTAATACATCTGTTGAGACAAACCTATATATATTTAATTTCTGTAACTGTTCTATACAATCCCAGGTACGGACAGGTTATTTTGAGGGCAAAAACCGGATTGATTCATTGATAGCAGATATTGGAAGCTGGGGAGCAAGTGCAGTAACCGTGCATGGTCGTACAAGGCAGCAACGGTACAGCAAACTTGCTGATTGGGAGTATATTTACCAATGTGCAAGAACAGCCACTCCTTCAAGCTTGCAAGTCCTTGGAAACGGTGATGTGTTTTCGTATTTGGATTGGAACAAGCACAGGTCTGAATGCCCTTCGCTCGCCTCATGTATGATTGGTCGAGGGGCATTAATCAAGGTCAGTATTCATGCTTTCTGAAGCATCTGCATTCAGTTTCAAGTTTTTTGCTTTCTTGTATTTGATTTTTCTGCCCAATCCTGTGTCGAAATGCAGCCCTGGATATTTACTGAAATTAAGGAACAGAGGCACTGGGACATTAGTTCCGGAGAGCGGCTTGAAATTTTGAAGGATTTCGTACGATTTGGTCTTCAACATTGGGGTTCTGACACAAAAGGTAACACATGTACTTTTTTTGCATGTTTATTATTAGTATTATTACTATTATAAGATTTGTGCAGCTGTTATTGTTTGATCTAAGGCTTTATACGAACGGAGTCGAGCTTTACCTTAAATAAGTTGCTTTAGGACTTGAGTTCAAAAAGGAATCAAAATAGTTGTTTGGGGGAATTATACATTTGGTCCCATTAGTGGAGCCGTTTATTATTTTCTTCCTTATTTGAACCTTGTCTAGAAATGGTACAATATCTTGTTTATTGATATTTTGGTTCTCCAACAAATGTGCTAACATAGCCGTGTAGAAAATGCTCACATCAAAATGCTAATTCACACCGGGAGGCCACATTAGCACAGGTACATACTTAGTTGTGGTCATTGGAGGGGACCAAAATTTTTACAACCAACATGATGTCAATGCTATTTTCAGATAGAGTTCACATAATTTTACCGGGCTATTTTTAACGATATACTCCATCCTATCTAAATAGTTTTATTTTCCATTTAGGATTATATCATCTAAATAATCCTTTTCCACATTATAGTTTATTTTCCCCTACTCAATTACAATTTACCTTTACCCTTATTTCTATCTACCTAAATATCATCCTACGCATCATGCTCGACCCCACTAAATTTAAGGATATTTGAGAAATTTTCATTTCACACACTACTTACCAATATAACATTTTCCCTTAATCTACTAAAAAATTCTTTGGAGACAATTTAGGTGGGATGGTGTGAGTATTAATGATGAAATGCACAACTTTATAAATATGTATGTATAGGAGTTGGATTGAGTTGAGTTGAGTTGAGTTGAGACTTGACTTTTCATTTGTTTTTTGATGTCGAGAAGGAGCCTTAGGTGTTTCCACTCTCTCTGTTATTATTATTATTATTATTATTGTTATTATTTTTTGATAGGAGACTCTCTGTTACATAGTTTCTGTTGAGTGTACTATATGTTTATGTATGTATATATATATATATATATATATTGAAAAGCCTATGAGGTAGGTTGTTGAATGGAATGGAATGGCAGGAGTGGAGACGACCAGGCACTTCTTGCTGGAATGGCTTAGTTACACATGCAGATACATCCCAGTTGGCCTGCTAGAGGTCATTCCCCAAGGAATTAATTGGCGACCCCCCTCGTATCATGGCCGTGACGATCTTGAGACCTTAATGGCTTCTGACTCTGCTGCCGATTGGGTATGTATATACTATATGTATGTATGTAGCTCTGTTTGGTTTCGAATTTGAAATCTTCTGAATGAAAAGTAAGTTTAGATTTGATTTGCTATGCTATGTTTTAATGAAAAAGAAAAAGGGTTTGAGATTGATTAATGTATTTGGGGTTGGGACACAAATTGAGATGAGAAAAGAACTAGTAGGAAGGCATATGCTTGAACCACGCGGTCATAAGTTCGCCCACCGCATTGGTTATGCCATATAGCCTCTATTTAGATTGATATTTTTGGAGTTTGTAAGAAAAAATAAGTATATAATATGAAATGAAAAAAATTATTTAAACTAATAGTGTCACTTCAAAAAGTATGTATCCATTTAAAGAGAGCCATGATTATTGTCATTGTTGTTTATGGTGCAGATTAGGATATCAGAGATGTTACTTGGCAAAGTGCCTTGTGGATTCACCTTTGCTCCCAAGCACAAGTCCAATGCCTATGACAGGGCAGACAATGGCTAAACAAAACAAAACACGTGGGTCTCTCTCTCTCTCTCTCTCTCTCTCTAAAATTAAAATCATATGATATCTATCTTATCTTATCTTGAATCCATCCACATTTCTGTACTTCTTCTACTACTGCTGCTGGAGCTCTGTTGTATTACTAGTTTCTATAAATACCATAGATAATTTTTTGGTGTTAGTTATTTCAAATGGTTTTTAACAAAGAGGATGTCAGTATGATGATGATGTTGAATTTATTTGTTGATGATAACATAAAAAGAACAATCATGCATGCAATTCGTGTCACGAAATCACAAGTTTTTCATTGCACCTTTGGGAGCTTTGGGAATATTTAATATTATTTATGCAATAATTTTTCAAAATATATTAAATTCATTTTCTCCATAAACTTTTAGCACCTGTTTCTTTAGCATAGTTTTTTCAAATTTTATATTTGAATTGTTTTTTTTTTTTTTTCCTCACAAAATATCCTATTAAATATTATTTTCATATCAAATTCAAATCAAATTTTTTCCAAAATCATCAAAAGAAAAACAACTGATAAAATAGATCATACTTTGTTTTCGGTAAAGGTTTTTAAAGCATTTAAAGTTTTAAGAAATGGGAAAAAAATACTTAAACAAACTATTGTATTAAATAGTTTTACGTTCCATTCATTGTGTTTATATGATTATTGTTTTTCTAAGTGGAAGAATCTAAAATTGTAGAAAGATTATATTGAATTGGGATCGAGGGAGAGTTATGTTTCTTTAATCGAATTTCTTCGGATTTTATTATTTTTTTTTTCTTCTTACCAAATATTTTATCAAACGTTATTTTCGTACCAAATTTCAAACAATTTTTTTTTTTTTTCAAACTCATGGAAGGAAACACATCATAAATTTTTATTATTATAATTTAAAAAAAAATAAATTTCATGAGTTTAATTAAGTTGAGTCAAAATTTTGAAAGTGTGCATGTGAACAAAATTTATAAATACAGAGAAGAGAGACATGAAACATAGTTGAGCAGGATTACCTTACCAAACAAAAGAAAAGAAAGCTGTTGTTGCTACCCACCCAATTAAAAGGAGAGAATCGTCGTTAACCTATATCTAATAAGTAACTAAATAAGAGACTGAGACGGTTACGAAGAAGATGCTGATGGACTTTGCCTCTTTACTCCAATTCACACTGTTATTCTTATTGTTGCCATTTCGAAAGCATGCCAGCCTCCATCCACACTCCCTCTCACTAAACCCATCACCCACAAAGTCCCCCATTCTCTTCACCTTCATCCTCATCTTCCCGTCACCGTCGGCGTCGGCGTCGGCGGCACCGGATACTTCCCCGAAAAGCACGCATAGCAGAAGCTCCCTGAATCCTCTCCCAGCAGCTTCTTCAAGCTGTCGATCGACAGAAACGCCAACGAGTCCGACCCTATGAACTTCCTCACTTCCTCCACATTCATCCTATTCGAAATCAACTCTTCCGAGCTCGGCGTATCCACTCCATAATAACACGACGCTATGATCGGCGGGCTCGCGATTCTCATGTGCACCTCCTTCGCACCCGCTTCCTTCAACAGCCTCACAATTTTCGAAGATGTCGTCCCTCTCACAATCGAATCGTCCACAACCACCACACGCTTTCCTTCCAAAACCGCCCTCACCGGCGACAGCTTAAGCTTCACGCCAAAGTCCCTAATCTTTTGCGACGGCTCGATGAACGTCCTGCCTACATAATGCGACCTGATCAAACCCTGCTGGAAAGGAACTCCGGCTTTCTCAGCGTACCCGAGAGCAGCCACGACTCCAGAATCAGGCACCGCAATCACCACGTCACAATCCACAGGCGATTCCGTTGCCAAAATTTCACCAAATTTATGCCTTGACTCATACACCGATCGCCCAAATACCTCTGAATTCGGCATAGCAAAGTATATGTGTTCAAAAATGCACGATTTCGCCTCTTTATGAGGCATCAGACACAATGATCTAACACCTTCTTTATCCACCACAAGTACTTCGCCGGGATAAACTTCTCGTTCATATGTCGCTTCAATCAAATTCAACGCACAAGTCTCGGAGGCAAAAACAACAGCTCCATTGCTCCTCCTTCCCATCACTAATGGCCTAAAACCAAAAGGATCACGAACAGCAACCAATTTATCCTCAGTCAGAAACACCATGGAATAAGCTCCCTCAAGTTTCTCACAAGCTTCTACTATTCTCATAAAAAACGGCCGCGCCTTAGAAATCGCAATTAAGTGAAGAACAACCTCAGTATCGGAGCTCGTATTAAAAATCGATCCGTTCTCTTCCAGCTCCGCTCTCAGCGTCTGATAATTCACCAAATTACCGTTGTGCGCAACTCCGATGGATCCGAAACGATAACCGGCGACGAAAGGCTGGACGTTTTTAAGCATAGAAGCTCCGGCGGTGGAATATCTAACATGACCTATGGATATGTCTCCCGGCAGTTTATCCAACTTCGATTCGCTGAAAACCTCTGATACGAGACCGACACCGGTAATAGACTGGAGGTTTCCGTCGTGCACAGTAACAATACCTGCGCCTTCTTGACCGCGGTGCTGGAGCGCGTGGAGCGCCAAATAGCATAGGCGCGAAGCCTCAGGGTCTCCATAGATTCCGACCACTCCGCATTCCTCACGAGGCTTATCGTCATCGTCGTCGGCAAAAAATGCGCTATCAATATCGGGATTATCCGATTGCTTGACGATATCGGAGATTGGATTTTTTGAAAGCGCTATATGGCCTAATTTATGGGACGATTTGGGAGAGAGTACAAAGGATTTGGAAAAGGGCGGAAGTGGTGATAGGCTGGCGGAGGACGACGCCGGAGGATGAACGAAAGCGGTGCGAGAGACGACGGCGGCGACGGCGGTGGCCATGGGAGATTTGAAGAAAGGCGGTTGGGAGCGATGGGCTGTGAATGGCGGAAAGGAGGCGGACTAGGTTTTCGTATTTATATGGTTATACTCTTTATAGGCAGTGACGTATTGTGCCTCACAGCAGATTCTTATTGGTCTGTCACCCGAATAAGGTGACCGCACTGACCGGATATTTTTCCTATGAATTACCGACTATGTGAGTGCGAATTTATATAGATATCTATATCAGCAATTACAGTTCGCAATGGAAAGTACTTGTAAATTATCATCTAACTAATAAATATTACTAATATTAATATTACATTTGAGTCTTTATTTATTATATATAATTGGAGTAACCAAATACCAAATAAAATAATGAAGTTGCATTTGGCTCTTTATTAATAGTTTGTGTTTCTCCGGCACAAACCTGAGCTGTCCGGTTTGGGGCAGACGTCTGACATTTTTTTTTTTTTTTTAAATTCAAATTATAAATGTAAATTAAAATTTTTACAATATATATAATTTAATGAAATATACAATATATATAATTTGGTAGAGAATAATTTTTTATAATATAATAAATAAAAATTTAGAAATATATATATGTAAATATAATATAAAATTATAATTAAATTATATAAATTAATACATATTTATATTATTATATTCGTAGCCATCAAATCAATACACATCAAAACTTTTCGAACTTAACCCAAATCTAAACAAAACACATAAATTCAAACTCATCTCAGAATTCAAATAGAAACCAAATCTAAATCCAAATTTCATCAAACCCTCCTAAAACAGTTCGAATTTGTTTGCAATTTTCTTTAGGCAAATTATATAAAACTATATTTTTTTTTTGTTTAAATATATATATAATATTTCTATTTTATTTATTATGTAAAGTTTTATATGTTAAATTAAAGTATGTAAAAATACTTATACAAATAAAATAGATAAAATATTTTAAATAATTTTATTTGAATATAAATAAAATAATGATTAATTATATATATATATATATTTAAAGTTTAGTAACACTTCATCTAAAAAACCATTAAATAAATTTATTTTATTAAAAAAAAAACATATTAAAATATTTTACCATTTTCTGGTGTACATAACTATACTTGTGTACAATCAAATGTTATATTTAGACGAAAAATATGTATTTTGCATACTTTAATTTAATATAAAGAATTTTACAAAATAAATAAAATACGAGATATTTTGTGTGTTTATATTAAAATACAAAATTGTGTTATATAATTTATCTTTTTCATTAGGTAAAATTGTCCATAATCCCCGTGGTTTCGAAACTCAATGTAAATCTTCCATATAATTTAAAAATTGCATAATACACTCGTATACTTTTAAAAATATTGCATGAAATTACTTTTATATTTGTGTAATGGAAATGTGATTTCTCATATATATATTTTGCATGACGGAGATTTTATACAACGTTTTTTAAAGTACAAGAATATGCTATGTAATTTTTTAAGAACAAGATGTTGGGGTGCAAACCCAAGTCCCACATTGGAAGCTGTGAAGAAAAATTTCACACCTTATAAGTCCCAAGTGAACTCCACTAGTACGAGGCCTTTTGGAGAATATCCAAAAACAAATCCGTGCGGGCTCAGCCCAAAGCGGACAATATCATACTAGTGCTGAGTTGACCCAGTCCCAACATTGGTATCAGAGCGCGAGGTTAAAAGCTGAACGCGGGCTGAATTTGCTATCCTAGTTGCAAAGAGAAATTGGTAAAATTTGCCCCAATTGGTAACGGATGACTAACCCTTGAACTTCTATGTGTTAGATGATATTTGGGTATTTGTGATTGTTGAATATATGATTAGCTGTGTGAATTATTCGTTAATATGTCGTCTGATTCGATGGAAAAATTGATTTTTCGATTTGGCAACAAAAAATGAAAGGACTTTTAGTAACTCAAAAAGTTTCCAAAGCAATTAATGGTGATTATAATGCGTTATTGACAGATGAGAGAAAGGCTGAAATAGATGAATGTGCTTATTCTCTGATTATCTTGAACTTGTCTGATTCTGTGATTAGAAAGGTAGGAAAACTTAATTCTACGAAAGAATTATGGGAAAGATTAGAAGAGCTTTACATGGAAAAATCTTTGCCAAACAAACTGTTCTTACTTGAAAAGTTTTTCCGTTTTAAACTTGATTTGAATCGAAACATTGATGAAAATTTAGATGTTTTCACAAAGTTAGTTAAAGATATAAAACAAACAGGCGATAAGAATATTGATGAATATATCCCTATTGTTCTCTTGAAGGCTACTCCTGACTCTTATTCAGATGTTAAGTCTGCTATCAAATATGGTAGAGATAATATAAATCTTGAAACTGTCATGAATGGATTAAAAAGCAAAGAACTTGACTTGCATGCAAATAAAAGTCATAAACATGCTAGTTATGAAGTGATGTTTGCTAGGGGTAGATCACAAGTTAGAAAAAATACAGAAAACCAAAAGAATAGGGGAAAGAGTAATGAGAGATCTAGGTCTAAGTCTAGGCCTAAGAACATAAAGTGTTACAACTGTGGGGAACCCAACCATTATGCTAAGCAATGTTCACATCCTAAGAACTTTAAAAACCAACAAAATGAGCATGCTAATATGACTATAGGAAATGAATATATAGGTGATGTTTTCATGGTTAAAGTAAGTTGTGCTGTTGTTAATACTATATGTGCTAATGAGTGGTTGCTTGATTCTGCGTGTACCTTTCACATGTCTCCTTTGAAAAACTTGTTTTCAAACTATAGGTCTATTTCGGATGCTAGTGTTTCAATGGCAAATGAAAAACTTTGTAAAATTGTTGGTATAGGTGATGTTTGTCTAAAGTTTGACTCTGGCTATGTGCTAACCTTAAGGGATGTTAGGCATGTTCCTGATTTGTGCAATAACTTGATTTCATGTGCTGCACTAGATGAAAGTGGATTAATAGGAAAATGGGGAAATGGCGTTATGAAAGTCTTAAAAGGTTCATTTGTTGCATTTAAGGCTGTTAGACAAAATAATTTGTACGTTGCTTATGTTGAACCAAATTGCATGCCAAATGTGAATTCTGTTGTTAATGATAAAACTGAATTGTGGCATAGAAGATTAGGTCACCTTAGTGATAAAGGTCTTGAAATATTAAAGAAAAATGGTTTTCTTGAAAATGATAAGATTACTACTGTGCCTTTTTGTGACTCGTGCGTTTATGGTAAGCAACATAGGGTAAAATTTGATTTGTCCCATGCTCCTAAAGTGCCTAAATGTAAGGATGTGCTTGAATATTTGCATGCTGATGTGTGGGGTTCTGCTCCTGTTCCTACTCAAGGTGGGAGTCGTTATTTTCTGTCGGTAATTGATGAATTTTCACGAAAAGTTTGGATTTTTCTATTAGAACAAAAATCAGATGTTTTTGAAAATTTTCAAGCATGGAAAAAGTTAATAGAAAATCAAACAGGTAAGCGCATTAAATTTTTGAGAACAGATAATGGTCTTGAGTTTTGCAACAATTTGCTTGATTCATTATGTGCTAAATCAGGTATAACTAGACATAAGACAGTTCCCTATACACCCCAGCAAAATAGGGTGGCGGAACGAATGAATCGAACTCTTATTGAAAGGGTGAGGAGCATGTTAAACTCCTCGGGCCTTCCAAAGAGTTTTTGGGGGGAAGCTGTTACTACAGCTGCATATTTGATTAATAGGTCTCCTTCTGTGCCACTTGGGGGTAAGTGTCCTGAATCTGTATGGTCGGGTAAGAAACTTGATTTTTCCAATTTGAAAGTATTTGGGTGTACAACATATGCTCTATATAAAGGTGATAAACTTGAACTTAAAGCTGTGAAATGCGTTTTCTTAGGTTATCCTTTAGGAGTAAAAGGATATAGGCTATAGTTAAAAGATGAACCAGGTTTCAAAGTACTAATTAGTAGAGACGTCACCTTTAATGAAAACGAGATGCCCTGTCTGAATGTGCCAAATACTGAAATAGATTTGACTTCAAATGAGGTAGAGCCAAATAAGGTAGAGCCAAATAAATTGGAAATTTCTGAAAAGTTGCATGACAAATCTGATTCTCATGATAAGTTGCTTGAAAATGACCTATCAAATGCTGAAAATTCTGAATCAGAATATGAGAACATTGAAAACTACCAACTTACGAGAGATAGGACTAAGAGAACCACTAAGCAACCGTCTAGATTTGATGAATACGACTTGACTTCTTATGCTTTTAGTGTGTTCGAGACATTAGATGGAAATGAACCTAAGTCCTATGAAGAAGCTTTTAAATCTAAACATGCTGAAAAATGGTTAAATGCAATGCATGATGAAATGAATTCCTTGCATGTTAACAATACATGGATTCTTGTTCCTAGGCCAACTAATTGTTCTATTGTTGACTGCAAATGGATTTTCAAAGTCAAAAATGAAAATGATAATGTTAGATCTAAAGCTAGGTTGGTAGCAAAAGGATTCACTCAAAAAGAAGGGATTGATTACACTGAAATTTTCCCACCTGTGGTTAAATATACTACGGTTAGGATAATGCTTGCCTTAGTTGCTCACTTTAATTGGGAACTAAAACAAATGGATGTTAAAATTGCTTTCCTACATGGTGATCTAAGTGAGAAAATTTACATGAAACAACCTGATGGCTTTGTAGATAAAGGTAAGCCTGATCTTGTGTGTCTACTGAAGAAATCTTTGTATGGTTTGAAACAATCACCTAGACAGTGGAACATTAAATTCGATGAGTGCATGAGATCATTAAAATTCACAAGAAGTAATTTTGACCATTGCTTGTATTTTATGAGATCAAATGATGTTCCTGTTTTCTTACTTATTTATGTGGATGACATGTTATTGATTAGTCCTTGTGTGAATACTATCAAGCATGTTAATGACTGTTTGAGCAATAAGTTTGACATGAAATATTTGGGTGATGCAAAGAATATTCTTGGTATAAACATTATTAGAGATAGGGCTGCTTTCACACTTTTGTTAAATCAATCTGCATATATTGAAAAAGTCTTGAAACGATTCTGTATGTCCAATGCAAAGTCAA